CCTCCTCTTGCCTTCACTACTTCTTGAAGACGCCTCGGCATACTTTCCACCAGTCGGGAAATGTCCCTTTGCTGAAAGATAGCCCATTCCTCCCGAAGAGCCCTTTCTAGGTCCTGCAGTGTATCAGGAAGTGTTGCACGCGCTCTTATTCGTCTTCCGAGGTTATCCCATAAATGCTCAATGGGGTTCAAATCTGGAGAACGTGCTGGCCAGGCTAAAACCTCAATATTGTTCTGTTGAAGGAACGTCTACACTATGCGGGCGACATGTGTTCGTGCATTATCGTGCATTAGAATAGAACGATCGCCGATTTCGTTGAGGACAGGCAACACATGAGGTTCCAAAATCTCATCTAGATAGCGAATGGCCGTCAAAGACTCTCCACGAACAACAATCAATTCTGTGCGGCGCTCCATTGAAATCTCAGCCCACACCATTAAGGAACCATGTTGGAAAGGTTGGCTCTGGAAAAAATTATAGGCTGCATATCTTTCGTTTCTTCTTCTCCACACCCTTTCACGCCCATCTGGAGATTGCAGAGCTAATCTTGACTCATCGGTAAAAAGTACAGCACTCCATTCGTCCATAGTCCAATGGCTGTGTTCTCGAGCAAAAGCCAGCCCTGTTACTCTCTGAGTTCTGGTCAACTCTGGTCCTCTTACTGGACGAAAAGCCATTAATCCATACTCATTTAATCTTCTCCGAGCGGTACGTTCAGAAATTTGCACACCTCGATCTTCTTCGAGCTGATGAATCGCTTGAACAACGATAAGGTGCCAGTTTCGTAAAATTCTCAAAGTCAAAAACCGATCATCCCGTGGTTGTGTTACCCTAGGCCGTTCAGAACCGGGCCTAGGGTAACAGAACTATTGTAAGAACCAGTTTCCCGAAAACGCCTGACAGCGTCTCATATAGTTTCATATGGAACTCCGATGGCATTAGCTGCATATCTAATGGAACGTCCATCATCAATAAGTGCCATACCAGGCGCAACATCCTCAGCACTAAGAGGCATTTTTAAACTTAATATTGAAGAAATTAAAAGAAGGAGACTAAGAAATGTTCTGCAAGAAACGGCACTGAACTAATGATACTGAATAAACATTTTGATTCCATAGAAAGTAAACATTTGAATCTAGAATCATTTCATTGAATTAAGGATTAAGGGTTATTGTCCTCTTTATTAACATTCCTAATTGAAAACAAACAAAAAGATTACCTATTTATTCATTAAAAACAATAGACCAATCCAAAGCAGAAATATTTTTAGATGAAAACATGAAAAAATCAAGCGTTACCTTCTACAACTTTATTTAGTTAATATTATTTTTTATAAAATTCTCCACGTTACAACGATATATTACACATATATCTTCTTACCGTTATTTCCGGAGATTCATTTCAACCTGGATAAGCATTTTTCTTTTATTCTCCAGTTTCCAATTATCATATTCTTTCGAACTTCATATTTAGCCATTTTTTACTTTCACTTACCTATTTATGTAATATATAGTAAGGGTAAGTATTACGATCGTGAAAATTTTTGAATCTGATTTTTCAACGGAAATAGACGTTTTGAGGTACCCTGAATCTAAATAACCAAGTCCCGAAAAATAGTTTGTGTATGTGAACACTCCAGTTTAACAAAACGAAAAGTCGTACAAAACTGATATTACATATTTAAGATAGGTATATGCCTTAGATGTCCTAGCAACGTTTTCCTTAAAATCGGCAAACTGGAAGTGTCACTTTATATCAATGGTGAAACACATTTTTACTATTTTCTAAAAAATGTTTGTAACGATTTTGATTAAACTTGGTGTATCGTTGTATAATTAAGTGGTCTTTAATATCAATTAGGCCTTATCCTCGTTGATGTCCCTTATAGGACTTAAATGCCCAATGTTCATATCTGTCTTCCTCTAAAATATCTTTAATTTGTAATGATGTAGAGATGGTTGACCGTTGATATGATATGAGAAGGAGTTAGTCGAGGGTGCGGTCAAATAAATAAAAAAATTAAAATATATAAATAATTTTAATTTTTCCCGACGTTTCGACCCACTTTGCAGGTCGTCTTCAGGGCGTTGGATGTGGCACTGTTGGAGGCAGTTGAAACACTGGGTGCAGGAAACACTGCAGTGTTTCAACTGCCTCCCACAGTGCCACATCCAACGCCCTGAAGACGACCTGCAAAGTGGGTCGAAACGTCGGGAAAAATTAAAATTATTTATATATTTTAATTTTTTTATTTATTTGACCGCACCCTCGACTAACTCCTTCTCATATCTTTAATTTGCTTTGTTTTTAAAAAATAATTCTCTCTTGTTGATAGTAAATATAAAAAATGGGTAAATAAATATAACTTATGAAAGAATTTGATTATTGAATAAAGGAGAAAAAAAGAAAATTGCTTATCCAGGTCGAAAATGAATCTTCGGAAATAACAGTCAGAAGGTATACGTATCGTTGGAAAGCAGAGAATTTTAGAAAAAACAATATATATTAGATATCATTTTTTCTAAAATCATAATATAAAAAGTTGTAGAAGGTAACGGAGAGTGGCGAGAAAATTATAAATAATAATTTTTGGAAACTTATGATATTTAAAGTAAATCACATGTTTTCAAGGAAATTAAATGAAATTTACTAACTAAGTGTAAACTTTAAAAAATATTTTTAAGTTTGTAAAAAGTATTTAAATTCCACCTAATCAATGCAATGTCATTGTTAAAAAAACTATTTCTGTGTACTTCATTGTACCGATGTAAAATATAAAATTGAATATTTAATAGTTGACCGTTTCATTATAAAGGAACGAGATGGTCCGGGGTTGCGGTCATAAATAGGCTAAGTAGTGGTAAAAAACTATTTTATTGAAAGCCGACGTTTCGACCTGACTTTGCAGGTCCTTCATCAGGGCTAGAACGGACAAGATACAAAAAGATAGAGAATTGTGGCAGTTACATAATATTTAGACACAATTTATAAACAATGTGAATAAGCTTATTAAAATTATAAAATACTGTTAATCATAAAGTAGACAAAAACTATATTTCTTTTAGATATAGACACATTTTTAAATCTTATAAGTGAAAAATAACTTAGATATTCTATTCTATTATTTTTATCTGCTCTCAATTTGTATTAATTAATTCATTTAATTGTCCATTATTCCAAATATTTCCTCTTTGTATGATCTCTCTTTTATTTTATTCTAAATTTACATTTACACTCTACATCAATGTATGATCATCCTTTTTCCACTTTTTATTCATTTTACTTATTAGCCATGTCTCAATATTATCTAACATTCAAATGTAATTTTCTCACATATGTACAACCAAATATAATTATAATTATTAATTTTTTCCCTTTCTATACTTTTAAGTTAGTTTTGCAATGTATGTATGTAAATGAAGTTATTTCTATATTTATATTTTACTTTTGCCAATTTTGGATTTATTCACATTGTACTCTGACCTAGAATCTCTCAACTCTATTTTATATGTATATTTATATATTTATAATTTAATATTTCATAGATATAGTATTTTTCCATTGTATCCATCCATATCTTCAAATTTTAGATACTGTAATTTCCTAGGTTTTTCCCAATTACCCAGTAACACATGTTAGCTTCCCCTATACCTGCTATCCTTACCCTTGGCTTTCCAGTTCTAAGTGAAACTCCTAGCTGAACACACCTGTAAGTCTCTAATTTTATTCTTCCAATTTTATTTATTTATTTTATTTATTTATTTACTTTCAATGGCACTTCAGCCCGATGTGGACCTTGGCCTCCTCAATGAGCCTTTACCATTCTCCCTGCGACACTTAAGGAGATAGCCCTGATGAAGGCCTGAACTTCAGGTCGAAACGTCGGCATATGTAAAAAATAAATATTATCATTTATTTTTGCCTTCCTTTTTGACTGACCACCCCCAACTATTCTTCTCTTCATTATCCACGATAGTCAACCAATTACCAATTATGAGCCTTTACCAGGTGGCCCAGTCATGTACAGCTGCTTTCCAATTTCGATTTCCTAAAAGGGTCTGAACGTCCTTCATAACGTCCTCATTCATTCTTGCTATGTGGCCTGCCCATCTCAGTCGACCACACTTAATAAAATGAACAACAGTTACTTCACCAAATAGTTTATATATTTCTCTGTTATAGCACCTCCTCCTCTGGCCCCCTTCCTTAATGGGTCCAAAAATACTACACATAATCTTTCTTTCGAAGATAAGGAACTCTTTCTCTTCTGAACTTAAGTCCACAACTTTGAGGCCTAGGTTAATAACAGTCATATAAGTTTTTTATAAACACTTGGTCTAACAAAACAAGGTCTTACTGATATGGTGCTTTTTGAGGCGAAAATAGCTGAATTTGCCTTCTTTGTTTATTGGCAGACTTATAAGTTTTTATAAGTAATAATACTTAATACTTACAAGTAATAATACAGTAGTTGGCAGGTAGCAGTTGTATCAGATTGGAAAAAATGATAACTTTGGAATAATCAGTTCGTGGATGTGATGTGATACAGTATTGTACATAACTGAAATCAGCTTTATTTTTTGAAAACAAATTTTATTGTTAAATAACGTTAAACAGTCTGTAAATTCAGCATGCCATCCTGTCATTTTTATTTGCACAGCATTTGGAAGATATTTAAATTTACACTATTGAAGCTGTTGACTTAGCTGATTTGTGTTTTGGTAGATTTTCTAACTCTCTGTCCATGTGTGTACACAAAAAACTTTTGAAAATTCCTTAGATATTTTTACACTCTTACAAAACACTCCTTTAAGGGCCATAGTTTTTCTGGAAGAGCCATGAAAAAATAAGTTATTTTGTGACTCTAGAAAATTTCTAGAGCGATGACAGAGCCAGAGCGAATTTCTTTTTCAAAGTGTTTTGTATCTGATACCATTTCAGGATTTGAATATATCCATCCACTGAATGTTTTAATTCTCCTCTTACATTGTTAAAAATAGGAATCAGGATGTCTGAAGGGCAGCAACCACCTAAGGGTCGGGCCAGGGGGAGGGCTATGGGTAGAGCCCGTGCCCGTGGAGTTCCTACAGCTTCACAGCAGCCTCAACAGCAACCTGCTTTACCTCAACAACCTCAGCAGACCCCACCATCTCAATATCAGCTACCTAGCCCATCTTCTCAGCAGCTTCCTATTCTTCCTCAACCGCAGCAGCAAGTTAGAGTTTCTGCTCGTGCCAGGGGGTATGTTCCTAAACAAATCCAACCTGGTGCTAGTGGTGTTCAACAAGTACGACAGCAGCAAGCGTGGCAACAACAAGAGCGACGGCCACAAGAACAGGGGGCATACGTAAGTCTCAATTTTTTCCTTTCGTTTTTTTACATATTCAATTCTGTTTCATTAGCTATTTATGAAAACAATGAACTTAAAAGTCACCTTGTAAAATATAATTAGTTATTCAAAACTTAAATATTAACTCAAATTTACTATAATTCCCAAAATAATTAATCACTAAGATCCTTGCAGTAATTGGGATTTCATAATTTTTTCTATCTAGAATTTTAAAAGTCTGTAGTCTTTGTTGATTGAAGTTAACTGGCTGCGACACAGATAGGGTAAACAGAATGTGATGTATGACTCACACTATGGCTATTATTTGAGACATCTGTTGTTAAAAATAGTATTTCATATATTTAATATTGATAAATAAAAATTTGCCAAACATTTGACTTTGGAGCGAGTATTTGATTACTAGACTGTAGTATTTACATTTCTCTCTCCCACTATAGGGGAGGATGCATAGTTTATCAGTTTAAGAAAAAGCAGTGTTTAAAATCATAAGATTTTGTATTTTTTAACTTTGTATGGAATAATAATGTTGATAGGCATATTTTCGGAGTCATACCCTAAAAACTATTTTTTTGCCATGACTATATTTGCTATTTTTTGCATATATCTTGGAACGCAATTGAAAATTTCACTTGGGAACTTCTAATTCAGATTCAGCATCCCATAAAACATAAAAACCTGAAGAGAAACCAATTATTTGAATTTTCCCCACATTCAACAAATTCGATGACTTGGATGTTGTCAGTTTTCAAAATGCAACCGATTACATCATCAGTCGAGGAGAATTCTCTTTTATGGACACATACACCATATGCAAATTTCAGCCTTCAGTTCTTCCGATAAATTTTTACCTGTACCACTACAACCCATAAAGGGTCTGGGGTTCAGTACTATTTAAGGAAAGCACTGTTTCTAGGTCAACGGTTGTGCAAGGAGGTGATTTGACTGAGATCACACTCAACCGCCAGGTTTTCCCCCTTAATCAATTATTTAATTAAAGGTACCCACTTTATAGAGGCTGGGTGTGCCCCAGGAGGGTCTCTCGACCCAGGGTCGCCCCACGGCCAATGAAACAGATAAATAAATTATCTGTCATGAGCCGGGGTTCGAACCTGGGACCTTTGCATTGGAAGTTCAGTGTCCTACCACTGAGCTACCCCACTCCCTTCTGATAAATGAAACATCAAATTTTACCACTTAAAAAAAATAAATTAAAAATTGTTACTAATTGTAAGTCCTTCAGTTAAATAAAACGGTCTGTAGCTTGTAGGATATGACTAGCTCTCCTAAAAAAAAACAATTTTTTGAATATTCCTCATACTAAGGACTACAATAAAAATGAGAAACATTATTTCTCATTTGTCAATAGTTTCAAAATTATGAGGGGTGACTGAAATAAAATCAAGAAAATTTCACTTTATTGATGCCAAATAGATCAATTTACAGCTCGTTAATAATTTTTTTATCAGATGATAAACTTCGATGGAATCTAAAACAAGCTTCCTTGCCCGTTATATTAGTACTTATGGAATTCAAGAATGATCGTTTTTGACGGAGATATGAGGAAAAACATAAAATAAGACAAAAAGTAAGTAAGTACCCTCCATTTTGGATAGAAGTGGACATGAGATTTTAGGGGACTTTTCATGGTTTGTTCTGCATTTGATAAGGAACTAATTCCTTCATTTACAAAGGAACTAATTCCCACATTTACAGCCAATTATAAATTTTCTTGATATCTTTCCTGTTTTTTGGCTATATTTATTAGCTGGACAATTAAGATATGGAAAATGTCTGCTGGTCATAAGTAATTTTATCTTTGTAAAAGATTTAATTTTAAGTACCATGTTTTATGAGTGTTTCATTTACCCACCCATTGGTTTATTGATTATTTTTTTTTCATTGAAATTATTTTAATATTTTTATTTCCATTACTTACTACTATTCCGGGATCCCGTGACAAAAAAGGTGTCATATTTTAAACTACGATTTGTGCTTAAAAATTGACGATATCCACAGGCCGGATGAGAAAAATACATGTCTGCCAGCATATAGGCACTGGAATACAAAATATGAAATTTAAGCACACAAAATTTGCAATAGAAATATTTATATTATTTTTTTTGTTATATTCTATAGTTTCTGTCATATCCGTCCTTGTAATTCACTAATCTTGCCACAAAAAAAAATTTGCATCGCAATTTTATCATTATTTGACTTGCCAACTCTTAATGTTTTCTTTTTATGAAAAAGTCATGAATAAGAAAGTTGTTAATTATTAAATTTTCTTTAAGAATATATGTTACTTTACTGTATTATCCTCAACCATTCAAAGGATAGAGTAATTATAAGTTAATGATTCAACTTCAAAACTACACAGAATTACTTTTCACAATTTTCGTTATTACACAGCTGATAATATTTATATAAGACAGTATATATATGTAAGTCAATGTATACACATGTATGTTGTCTTATATACAGATTAAGAGCTGTGTAATATCGAAAATTGTGAAAAATAAGTTTTTCTGTATAGTTAGGGAGTTTAATCACTAAATTATAATTGCTCCTCTAGCCTTTGGATGATTGAAGATAAGATAGTAAAGTAATATATATATTCTTAAAGGAAATTTAATATTAAACAACTTTTTTCCTCATGACTTTTTCGTAAAATAAAAATATAAAGAGTTGGTGAGTCAAATAATGATAAAAATGCGATGCAAGCATTTTTTTTAAATTAGTGAATATAGTATATAACTATATATACTACTATAGTATGTAACAAAAAAAATAATATAAATATTTCTATTACAAATTTTGTGTGCTTTAATTTCATATATCACATTATTATAGATAGAACGCATAGTTTACCTACATAGTACCTGATCACTGAAACCGCAAAAGTAAACTTTTGAATCGTAAATTCATTTTTTCGATTTGAAATTCATGGGATATAGGGTAACTGACTATTATTTCATGCCTTAAGACTGTAAATACTTAAATTGAAAGGGTTGATAGCTTTATATATCTATAAGCTCTCTCTATATACATATACGCTTACAACCTATGTTGGGTCTCTTCTATCTTCAAATGGCCGCCATTTTGTATTTCAGCAGTTATATGGTGGCAAACTTGCATTTTTCTCATCAGGCAGGCCTGTGGGATATGGTCAAGTTATAAGGACAAACCTCCTTAATATGAAATATGACACTTTTTTCTGTTATGGGCTCCAGGACTATAATGTTATACTCCGTTTAACAAATAAAGTCAACAGCTTTAACACTTTATACCAGTCATTAATACTGTCTAATAATTGTGCATGTAGTAAATAATTATTATTAGTTTAAAGCAATGAACTTTTAATTAGTGCAGTTAATGTTAGATTTAATTGTTTTGTTTAAACATAGTAAGTTTTTCAGTTTTCAAATTAGACTATAATTGTGTGGTGAATTCATTTTTCTGTAATCATGTTTTGATTTATTTTTTCTTCAGGCAATAGATCCTAACCTGAAAGATGTAGCTGGAGGCTTTAGAGGGCTGTGTCTTGGTGAATGTAAGTTAAATTTTCTATATCTTTAATTTTTCTTTTAGTTGATCTATTGATACCAGTTTATTTTGTATTACGACCTTTATTAATATAGCAAAACAGTGATTTGGGTTGCAATTAACAATACTTAATCTCTCTTCCCTTTTATTCCTTCCCTTTATGTGTATCTTGACTATATATCAGAGCTCTGCTGTATAAAGGATGCAATCAAATGGACCAGCTTAAATTAGGATCTTTTAAATCCAGGATATTTTACATCATCAAACTCAATAAATGAAATTATCATATACATAACAAAGTCATCCACAAGATAAAATTAGAAATTTACTTATGTAAACTTTTTTTTTTTTTCTCAAAAATTTTCAATTTTTGATGAGTTGATTGGCAATGCGGTCAAATACAATACTATATATTAAAATAGTATTTTATTAATTAAATACACCGAAGTTTCGACCCATGTTGTGGGTCTTTATCAGGGCGTTTAAGATGTATATAAGGCGATATAACGCCCTGATGCCAGATACAATGCCCTGATGACCCACAACGTTGATCAAAATGTCGTCGTTTCTAATAAAATACAATTTAATGTATCGATTATATTTGATAGCACCCCCGGCCAACTCCTCAAATTGTAATAACGCTCAACCATCTCCACCCCATTATGATTTTAAATTTGTCTTCAAACTTATGTATTTCACTATGTCATTTTTATTTTATTTTGTAAAAATCTAAAAACGTGGTTTACGAATAATTTGGTGTAGAGTAAAGTTTACATTATATACTAATTACTCATTTTTTACTAAACCACTGAAAAATAATGTTATGACATGAAAATAGTTAAAATGATTAATAATATAATTTAACTTTAACAATAGACTAGAAATTTCTTTTACCTTCTCTGAATCACGTGTATCCTATCATATTTATTAGTAAATGTTGGATTACAACAACATTATGGGTTTTAGCTGAAATACTAAACTATGAAAAAGTCATGCCAATTGTCAACTGTTATACTTTGCTATAAATAAGTAACCTGTCGGCCTTGCAATAAATTCTTAACAATCACTCTTCTATCTAGCAACTCGAGCAATTGTTTTTTAAAGATCCTCGCAAGGCCAAAGTCACTGCAGTTAACGGTATTTAAAAAATTCAACCAAAGCTATAGAAGTGAACTACTTTCTATTCATTTCTGAATTCCAGTTAATTTTACCATAATGAATGGATTAATCTCAATGTAAATCGGCTTAAGATAGATCAGTGTAAAAATTTCATTACTCTCTAATATTGCTAATCAAAAACTTTTTGTCATATCTTAATTTTGTCAAACAATAATTTCTGTTAAAAGTAGAGAAAATATTGAGGCTTGTGTGATGCGGACAACAGGTTTTCTTACTTTCACTTAGTCATCTTTTTTCTGTCATTCATCCCTTTCTGACACGAGGATATGAACCCCGCACTTACATTGGAAATTGAATAGCTGTAACTTCGTTAATAGTTGTCCAAAATGAACGATTTTTATATAGTTTTGTACGGAATTTCATTACCTTTAAAAAAACAGGCTAAACGATGGTGTGTGTCTGACTCAGGGGGCTCTGTTCGGGAGCACCGAATTTCCATCACAGGCATCAGTAGTCTAAACCCTTCAAAATAAAGTGAGAAGCAACAAAATCGGTTCAGTAGTTCCCGAAAAAATCTTGGCACAGACAGACAGACAGAAAAATGGCTAAAAATGTGTTTTTCGGACTCAGGGGACTCTGAAACATATAGATCCGTCGAAAACCGCTTATCGGAAATTTGACCCGATTGCAATACTTTCCTTACCTAGTATAGGTAGGAAAGTAAAAAGGTAAGCCCCATCACCCAATCATTATATGGAAATCAATGATATTACCAAAAATAATAATGAGATATGAACCTCCTTAAAATGTAAACATGCAGAAAAAGGAGGATTCCAAGACCTTGAACCTTATCAGAAAAATAAATAAGGGTATATGAAAAAAAAAACAATTATAACTCTGGAGCCAGGCCCAAAAAACATAACTCATCGCAGGCGAAGGTTTGAAAATAAATTATGGAAGTGTTTAAAGGGGGAATTCCACTGAGGCAACACTGAAGGACATGTAGCTTGATTCTTCTTTCCTTGGGTTGCCTACTGTAGCCGTCTATCTATATGGCACAAAATTCAATTAATGACGCATGCGCTTTGTCGTACACTTGTGTAGCATGCGAGCAAAGTGATTCTATTCAGGCAACTTCAGTTTGATACATCATGTCATTACAAACAGTCGCGGCTGCTGCATATTTGGTAATTGCTTTGAATCTTAAAAAGAAAAGAAAAACATCCCACGATATTGGAGAAGAGAGTTGTAAATCGATGGTCAAGAAATTTGGTATCATTTAATATTTCACTCTTGAAGAGAAGTGGAAAATTCATTTTAGTCCGAGAGTCTGTGAGAAAAAATTGACATTATTCAATTAAAACTTTAAAAACATGTTAAAAAAATATGTATAACATTTATATTTAAAAAAATGTGTCTGTGTGTGTTATTTGTAAAAGTGGGGGCTGATATAAAAATTATTAGACCAAATACTTGAGGATCGAAACAGAAATTCATTGCGTAAAATGTAAGGAAAGTTTTTATTTTTTTAACTTGTATATAAGGGTTCAGACATGTAAAAACAGGATAATGAGGTATAAAAAAATAAACAAATTTCATGAAGAAATAACGTTTTTTAATACCTATTCAATGTTAATCTTATTGAATCTAGATAGGTCATTAAGAATCCCCACATAGTCCTTTACAGCTTTAGATCTAGTTATATAATTGTCCAGTGGAAGTATTGCCGCTTGGCTGTTGGTATGGATAGAAATTTTCCATTTACCATTACCCCATCAAACAACAACTTTGAGGCACAATGAGGTATCGCCAGTATATTATATTGGAATACCGTTGCATATTTGCCAAATGATATAGACATTCCATCCTCTGGCTCATCCTTTCTCTAAAAGCCAGAGCCGTACGTCATTAGTGATCCCTGTAACAATTAATCCCATAAATGGATTTACATTTCTCTAAACTATCAATATTTACATTATATTTCTGTATTAGGAATTCTCTGATCTGAGTGTCAGAGTGCATTGCAAGCACCTTATCTGCCTCAATTCTTTGAAATGTTTTCCAATATCCCTCATGGCTATTTATCTTTGAACAAGTTTAGTTTATGCAGGCTATAAAAAGTTTTCAAGGCATGTATTTCTATATCCTACTGCAAAGAGTATAAACCTAACATTACTTCCATAGCTGTAGTCGTGGTGGTTTTCATTGCACCTGTAGTTTTTCCAGTTGTATTCGGTTGTGGCCAACTCTTACCCTATGCTACCATTCAACTGTTGAGAGAAAGAGTTGAAAGAGCACCGTTCTAACCGCTGTAACATACAACCAATAAACCATTCGTAAGCCCCTATGCCTCCCCTAAAGCATTTTTACAAGCCCATAGGTATTTTAGAGCTTCATTAGTTGTATTTTCAACGTGACTATTTCATTTTATTGTTCAGCTTAACACCTAAATGTTTCACCAACTTACTCTTGATGTTAGCTGGATACCATTAATTGTAGGTAGCCTTGTTACAACCTTTCTTTATTGTGAAAATGCACACATTTGTCTTAGCCGGGAGGACACTCTGTACACTGGACTGGCACCATCCCTCCAAGACTCCTGTCGCAGTCCTTAACGCATCAGAATGAACAATGATGTTTTCCACCTATAAGAATAGCGATATTGTCCGCGTATCCTTGTGAATAAAAGCCTGCAGTAATTAGTGTGAGGAGCAAGGAGTTCACCACCAAACACCACAATATTGGGGAAAGCAACATGCTGCCAATCCATTTACTAACAAGCGGATCAATTTTTTTTGTCCTTAAATTATCCGTAATGTTTTTATTCGGAGTCCTATCGAAGGCACCGTTGATCTGACTCAAAGATTTTTCAATCATTGAGACCAGATTATGTAGTGCTGATTCGCATGATTTACCAGGTTGGTAGGCGAATTGATTAGAATGTAAAGAATTTAGAGTCAGTAATTGCTCTCTTTTAGGCCTGTCCAGAATCTGTCTGAAGCAGCTCTCTAAAATTATTATTTTTTTTTTTTTATTAGTCTATATTATAATATAGTCTATATTTGTTTCTGTGAGTGATCTGAGTGAATAATTAAACATTCACAATATGTACTCCTTTTTTAAATTTAACGCATAAACAGCTATTAAATGTAATCACTTGTCAAAAAAATATAATATTTTGTTCGCTAGAAGCATTATTGTTCTTGTAATTAACTTTTTTATTTAATTTAATTTATTAATTTTTTCAAACAGATCTTCAAGGATCACCTTAACAAAATTTGGTTTAATTTTTCTTACTGAGGAATTTCTGTTATTATAAGTAAATGAAATAAAAAACTGATGAATCTGTGTGAATAAAGTGGTAAAGGTTGAAATTTGATTAATATATTTAAAACAATCTCGACGGTCAATGGCCAAGGTATCCAGTTATAAAAATAAAAAAAAAATTGTATGCTATTTTAACATAAAATGTAAAAAAAAAAATAATATAAAAAAATCTGCTGCGCATAACACACAACTTTCACTTACCGCTCTACTCTGAATAGAAATTATTTTCTGGCAATGTTGGGATATTGTAAAATTTTTGAAGTGCATTTTAAGCAGGGTTGAAGCTTAAAGCTTATAGATTACAAGTCATTAGGACCATTCAAATTACAAAAAGCCTATTATTACATCGTTGGTAGGCAATAAAAATCTAGTATGTCCATCCATCTGTATTTATAAAGCACAACAACCACACACAGCTATATAAAAACCTTAAATACACGCACACGCACACGCACTTCATTAGTATTTCGATTTACTATGTTTTTGATCTGGGCTGTTCACACCCACAGACTATTTTGAGGGACTTGGTTATTTGGACTCAGAGAACCTCAAAACGTTTATTTTTGTTAATAACTCAAATTCAAAAACTTACTATATATTACATATATAGGTAAGTGAAAGTAAAAATATTTATCATATTCAACTTTTAGATCTATATATATATATATATATATATATATATATATATATATATATATATATATATATATATATATATATATATATATATATACAACACTCACTAAACAGAATTTTTGCGAATAAAGGAAAATTCTATTTATTGGTGTTAAACTGTAATTTTATCTTTTTACAGCCAAGCCTGGACATGCTTTGCGTAGAGGTGTACTGAGAGGAAGAATCGAAGTGGTGACACCTCCACCCAAAACAAGGCCTGAAACTTTGAGTGTTAAAAGAGGTTTGTTTTGCTTAAAATTTTATAAATATATTTGTTTTTATTTCCCTTGGTGATTCAATTTGTGGATTATTTGATATTGGGCTGTTCTATTGTAAGATGTATCTTATACTTTAATTTATTTGGTATTAGAAAGTTACATGAGTAGATATATCTTATACTTTAATTTATTTGATATTGGAATGTTACATGAGTGATTTCATATTTTATTTAAGAATATTCCAGTTGAACCATAAAAAAAAAAAAAAAAATTAAAATTAGAATGGTTTAAATTGAGCTTATGTTTTAGTTGTTATTCCTTTTGATCAGGGGTCTCCAAACTTTTTGGCCCACGGGCCACATTGAGACCTACAAGTCCTGCAGGCCATGGATCGCCATTAAAAAAAAGTCTGTTACTTCAGTTGTAATATATGCTCTCTAAACGGCTTATGCAATAAATGTTGTAATAACCTCGTGTTTAAATGATTTACTAAATTTTCTAATTTTATATAGTTTTTAATCACGAAATACGCCGAGGAAATTATCGGAGACTACCAATAAGGATTTAGACGGAATCGTTCGACTGTTGATCAAATATTTTCTTTATGGAAAATATTAGAGAAAAAATTGCCTGTACTACAAACGTTCTAGAGTACAACGGTTTTTTTCACCAGCTGTATATCGATTTCAGAAAGGCTTACGGTTCTATTGACCGCCAGAAACTGTATAATATTCTAATCGAGCAGGGGGATTCCAAAAAAAACTGGTAAATCTAGTCAGGATGTGCTTGACGGAAACACTCAATAAAGTTAGAGTCAGTAATAATCTGTCCGAAAAGTTTGAGGTTCGTTCGGGTTTAAAACAGGGGGATTTTTTTTCGCCTGTCCAGTTCAATTTGGTATTAGAACATGCCATTAGAGAGGTAATGCGTACCTACAAAGGGTTGCATCTGGGTGGGACAACACCCGTGCTGGGCTATGCGGATGATCTGGAAACTATAAGCGAAGACGTGGAAACTATAAAACTAAATACGACAACGTTAATGAATGCCAGTAAAGAACTAGGGCTCAAAATAACGGTAGAGAAGTTTAGGTATCTAGGGTATACGAAAACTAGAAAAACCAAAATTAAAAATAGGATTAGGGTTAGACTGAAGGCGGGAAATGGTTGTTATTTTTCTGTGACAAAACTACTTAGCTCGTGCCTCTTGTCCCGAAACTTAAAAATTAGAATCTATAAAACCATTGTCTTACCTACAGTTCTTTATGGTAACGTGGCCGCTTACATTAAGGTTTTTGAAAATAAAGTATTGTGTAGAATATTCTGACTGAAGAAGGATGAATTAACCGTAGAGTTCAGACGGTTACACAACGCCGAATTGCATGAACTGTATCCGAGTAATGTAATTGAGGTGATTTCATCCCGGCGAATCAAATTGGCCTGTAAAATTGTTGGGCTTAGTAACGAGAGAATTCCTAAAAGGTTAATATCTGCTGTACCGAATGGTAAATGTCCGAGGGGTAGACCGAAGCGAAGGTTGGAAGATTGCATTGAAACCGATCTGAAGGGACTAGGTTTGGACGGCGAACAGTGGAGGGAGGTTTGTAATAAGCGATTGGTGGTGTCTGCATCGAACCTTCGGGGTTCACTAAGCCTTTTATTATTATTATTATTTATTATTTTATTATTATTATTATTGTATAGTTTTTAAAATTTTAACATGTAATCAAAGAAGCTTCGCGTGCCTGATTGAAAGTGTTGGTGGGCCCGCATGTTTATGAAAAGTGCTGTAGTTTAGACTCCTGCTTTAGATTAAAGAAATCTAATATAGTATTATTCAACAACAATATAAACTTTGAGGTACTACAAATGTACCTGATAATATATTTTATAAAATATATAACTTGTTTTTATATATACACTTTAATATTTACATCTATAGAAAGTTAGATCAAAATAATATAAAAACGTTTTTTCCATGACTATTGTAGAATAAAGGGATCAAGAGTTAGCTAGTGAAATCCAACAAAAACTGGAGACAAAATGAGATTTTTTTTCTTCAAAGATTTGGACCCCTAGAAAATACTTTAAAGATGTATCTTTGATATACCTAATTAATCAAGATGTTTGGGGATTCGGAAGAAAAATTTAAGCACTTAGAAGGAACTTATCTAGCACAAACCTAATTTAAAAGTTTTCAACTCAATAGATTAATTTTGGGGGGAGGAGTCATAGAGTTGCAAAAACCCATTAAAAAGTACAAAAATGGTTAGTATCAAAAGGTAATTTTTAAACTCAATTTAGATACAAGGTCTATTTGGTATAAATAGACTCCCTTAAAAAAAAAAAAAAGATAAATACATATATTTGACGTTTCTAGAACTTTCATAATTATGTCCTAAAAATGATATAAAATAAATTTTTTTGGAGAGTATTGGACACCCTAAAAATGATATAAATTAATTTTTTTGGAGAGTACTGGCCACCCTGTAATTATATTGTTGTGAAATCCTGTTTGGTTTTGCAATTATATCAATTTTGTTTTTTTTATCATTTAAGGCCTCTTTTATCATTCAGGCTTATATTAGATACATTGCCACAGGTTATTACAGCATTATCAGAGCTAAGACTAACGATTTATTTTAAGATGTTGCTTGAATCTTTGTCATAATTCCTTTTTTTATTTACTTATAAAGTCTTCTTAGGAGTGTATTCTTTACAGATTAAGTGCTTTACAGATCATATTTATTTGTGCACATGAGAAAAACATTACATTCAGTGACACATGGCTGTCTTGTTTCAAAATCATTTAAAAATTCTTTGCAACTGGTTCAAAGTCAAAAACACTTTCATAATACATCACATTATTTTTTATTATAGATGTTACTTCTTATATATTATCTAATAAGGTTGAGCAGAAGTGTTGTTAATTTTAAAAATGAATATTTAATGATATTTAACAATCCATTAGTCATATAATCCAAAATATAATCCAGTAGTCATTTTGTTTGTTTTCAGATATAATTTTTAAAATAAATTATTGTTCTTTGTTGTTTTTATTTACTTCACTTCTTTTGGTTTATTTTAGGTAGCCAGGGAACGTCGGTGAACCTAATAACTAACCATTTCAGATTGACACAAACAACTAATTGGTCTTTATATCAATATCATGTCGATTTTGAGCCTGAGGAAGAAAGGACTAGAGTCCGTAAAGCCCTAATGGCAAATCAAAAGGAAACACTAGGAGAGGCTTATTTATTTGATGGTACAATGTTATTTGTCATTCAGAGGCTACATACCCCACAGAACAACGTTAGTATTACTTCATTTAGGCCGGGTATACACGTTCCGGTATACTGGTGAGGTTTATCTATACATGTAATCCGGAGCGTGTACACCAAACTTCACAGGTTTAGCGACCTCTGCAGGCAACCGGGGAATAATCAAAATTTAGTATTTTCTACCTGTACTGGCGTGAAGACCTGAACATTTATATAAGTCACTCCGGTATACCTGTACAGTTTTTAGGTTAATTAGTACAGCTTATTAGTAATCAAGAAAAACCATCATGCCTTCTTCGTGTTTGCTCGCTATCTCTCGGCTGAGCTTAATTTTCTTGTTTACCGTAGCATGTACGTGCTATAGCCTGCATTGCTATATCTTTCCGATTAACCTGCGTAGATTTACCTCACAGGTTCACCGGAATGTGTATGCCTGGCCTTATGTTAGTACCTTTTTAAAAATGCCTTGTTTAATTATTATTACTTTTTTCAGGTAATAGAATTATTTTCTTTTAGAAATGATGATCAAAAAATGAGGATTATTATTAAATTTACTAATGAGCTTTTATTTGGAGATTATCAATATATCCAAATATTTAATATTATGCTTCGCAACTGCTTAGATGACATGGGATTACAGCTTGTAGGGCGTGAATATTTCAAACCTGATTCGGCTGTAAGTATTATTTATATGTTCTTTTATTTAAGTTAGCTCTCAGGAAACTAATGTTCGTTTTTGAACCATCTAATAACATAAACTAATAAAACTTAAATATTCTATGTACTTAAAACCTAAATTTAACCCTCTTAGAGACTAATGATTTATGGTTAACACAAATGAAGTCAATAGCACCACTAGATAGTAAGTTATTAAGGTTTTAATTTTGAAAAAGACTAAAGTTTCTAAATATAAAACTGCTTATGCATGTATGATTTTTTTCAGGTGTAAATATTATTAGAAACATTCACATAAGTATCTTATCGCTTTATGAACAACTCAAAATTTAAGACTGTTAATTATTGTTATTACTAATTTACAATAAATTATATTTTCAATTCTTGTCAAAACTTACTCTCTTTATAGGAAGAACCTTCTTTGGAACATACAGAAATGTTTTGAAATTTTCCGATAATTCCTTGAAAACATTTGCTTACACTCAACTGTGTGGATAATTTTTACTTTCACTTACCTACATATGAAATATATAATAAGGAGAAGTATTGCAATCATAAAAATTTTTAATTCCGAGATTTTAATGTAAATACATACAAATAAATACAATAGATCTGTTCTGGCCACAGTGTATTTTGCCACAATGTACTCTGAAGAAAACTAGCCGCTGCTTTCGAAAATGGCGGCCATGCAAAGAGGTCCAAATTTGCCGATAATGGACCTCATCGCAGGCTAGAAGAAACTTTCATAGATGAATCTTTTTACAATGAAGCGTCATTTTTGAGCGTTCTGCTGTTTCTGTGCTGCTGCTTTCCATTGGCAGACTTAATTTAAAAAATTGCAACTTTAGGGTAATAAATTTACCAATCTTAGGAGCCTTGAGAAATTATAACTACAATGAATGTGTGTGATAAAACGAAGAAAGAACTTTGTCCTGCCTTCTTTAGGCCGTGGCAATCTACTGGCAGACTGTAATTAAAAAATTGCAATTTTTGTTGAAAAAATTGACTATAATTAGGAGATTTGAAACTAAGCTATATGATACTTTTATATTAACAGTTGAATAAAAACATAGTCTGCCTATATTAGGCCACGGCAATCTACTATCAGACTCAAATTCAAAAATTGCAATTTTTTTAATGAAAAAATTGACTTTAGTTAGGAGATTTGAAACTTCACTATATGATACATATATATTAGTAGTTAAATAAAAACATAGTCTGCCTATGTTAGGCAGCGGCCATCTGCTGGCAGACTTGAATTCAAAAATTGTATTTTTAGATGCAAAAGTTAACCAAAATTAGGAGGCTTGAATTTTTGCTGCATAATCGCTTCTTAAGCCGGTAAAGAACTAGGACTCGAAATAAACGTGGATAAAACAAAATATATGGTTAGCTGCAAAAATGGCGATACTACTGGTGATATCGATATAGATGGTAATATGTTTGAACAGGTAGATAAATTTAGGTATCTAGGTTCTACGATAACTAGAAAAAACGAAATTGAAGAAGAGATTAAGGTTAGACTGAAGGCGGGGAATGCTTGTTATTTTTCTGTGACAAAACTACTTAGTTCGCGCCTCTTGTCCCGAAACTTAAAAATTAGAATCTATAAAACAATTATCTTGCCTACAGTTCTTTATGGATGCGAAACTTGGCCGCTTACATTAAGGGATGAGCAGCGTCTTAAGGTTTTTGAAAATAAAGTATTGCGTAGAATATTCGGACCGAAGAAGGATGAGTCAACCGGAGAGTTCAGACGGTTACACAACGCCGAATTGCGTGAGATGTATCCGGGTAATATAATTGAGGTAATTTCATCGCGGCGAATCAAATGGGCTTGTAAAGTTGTTGGGCTTAGTAACGAGAGAATTCCTAAAAGGTTAATATTTGCTGTGCCGAATGGTAAGCGTCCGAGGGGAAGACCGAAGCGAAGGTGGGAAGATTGCATTAAAGCCGATCTGAAGAGACTGGGTTTGGACGGCGAACGGTGGAGGGAGGTGTGTAACAAGCGATTGGTGGTGTCGGCATCGAACCTTCGGGTTCGCTAAGCCTTATTATTATTTATTATTATTATTAATCGCTTCTGTTATCGTGGTCGATCCTACCAAGTCTCAGATCTGTGTGAACATCTTGGCCATTCAAGCATAAATATTTTTGAAAAGTGCTCACTATTTCGGTTCTCTGAGAATGACTATATGCCCATCTTCGACGAGCTGAGATGCTATTTGTTGAAGAAACTACACCGATCAATTTGTTCGCGACATCAGCATTAATGGTCTATTCAAGGGTTAAATCGATTGACGATCTTGAAAAATTCTTGTTTGTTTTCTTAACTGAGAAAAAAACAGTTTTAAGTTGTTCTGCTATATGACCTCCTCTCTTTAACGAATTGATGATATTGTCTATAAATGGAGTCATCCATCTGACAACTCTTGATGATTCATTGTGAAAAAGAGATCTGTTATTTTCAGAGCAGCGGCTAGAAAAAGATATATGTCGCCCATTCTTGTACTCCTGACAAAATCGTTATAAATATCGATTAACTGAATATACTTCATCCATAGTTGTGCAGTTTTACCATGATTACCTTGAATAGTGCTCAGCTCAAAATCCAAGTATTCTTTTACATGTTTTTCCAGATTTGAATTGATGTAAATTCCTTTACTGGTATGAAAAACTCTTAGATCTCTGGCAGCGAGAAGTAAGGTGGGTAATTCACTCGTTTTTACATCATAATGTTTTCCAGAATTTTGGAATAACTCGTAGTGCAAAGATCTCAAGGCCAGTGCTAATACACGGTGAATCCGTTTGCATCTATTGTAATTAGTCGCACCGATAAATCCAACACAAGAACCCAAAGCAAGAACTCCTGAATCTTAAAGGATCTCTGCTATCCCTGATCCATCAATGAACTTTCCCAACACCTTGAAGAAAGCCATTTTTATATGAAATGGGCCTAGCATCACAAAAATACGGTCAAAATTTGGTTGATCCTCGCTCTAAATCTCCATTGCCATTTTAGCAATGTTTAAATCATATATGCAAAGTATTTCGTCCTGCCTGCATTCGTCAGCAATTATTAAAGCCTGTTTCTTCGTATGGTGAACAACTGCATACGATGTTGGTAAGTGGTTTATTTGGAGAAGATAGGCAACTTTTTGAGTAGGAGAATGGTCCACGATGATGGAAGCATTGAAACCTGTCCACATAGGAGTTTTCAGTTGGCGGTATATGATATTCAATGCCCAAATAATGTCTAGCAGTCTCATGTTTTTTTCTTCACAGCTGTTTATTTCCATAATGGGATTTTTGTACACAGTTGTAATTGTAAATCTAGGTTTTATTAGGTATAGCTCAACCTCGTTTATTGCTGCATCGAAGCGTCGTTTTTTTCTCATCCTATCTGCATTCATGGGTTTGTCATTGCTTGTAGCTTCTCTTAAAGAATCAGACGTTTCACTTGAATTCTGGAAAATGATACCCACTGTATCATGTAGAGTATCTTTTCCAGACATGGATGGAATATTGCATTCTCCTTCTAAAACTTGTTCAAGCAATAGGTTTGTATTTGGGAGAGGATTTTTATCAATTGAATTAATATGTTTTCACAATTGAAAAGCTGCTTTTTCTTAAAGCAGTTTCTGTTGCCATTTCACCATCTTATCTTCAAAAACACTGGGTGCTAAATTCAATGAAGACGAGAACAAAATTTAATTTTTATGAGATTTATCAACCAGTAAATAGGTTGCATACTTAATCAGGAGTTTGTTTTCAAGTTTAGCTTCCTTCATTTTCTTGATACTATCTAAAGGAGTAGGTTCATCTAACTTAGTGTTGAATAACTTTGTAAGTTCGTTAAGTGTAAAAACTTTTTCCTTCTTTAGAATTTCTTGCTCCACAATTTCACATGTATATTTAAAGGCAGTTGAATGTCTAGTTCTGAAAGGATGCCATGTTGATGTTGATCTTTGTGCTGCGGAAGCCATATTTCTGTACCTTTTATTAGAAATTGAATGATACCTGAACTCCTTCGCTACGAAATCTCCCAATGCTGCGAGAGATGATATTTGTGAATCGTTAAGGATAGCTGCTGCTCGAAGAATACTCGTTTGAAATTCTTTAGTCGAGCATAAACGTTTTTCGAGCTTTTCCACAAAATATACACAGTTTCATAAAAGTCCCAGATTTGTGTAAAAGGGGACCCTATTGTGATCTTGTTAAAAAATTTAAAATAATGTTTGTCTGTCGGTAAATTGAGCACACATTCTGATATAGAATCTTTATATTTTTTACTTATAGCAGTAAACGTCTTGTAACAAGATAAGTGGAATCCTCTTGTTTCATCAGACACATCATCTGGTAATGTAAAGTTACAGTAACGCAATTTATGATATATCTTTATCTTAAGAGATGTATTGAATTTGTCTAATGTTCGCTGATTGAAAGGTTTCACCTCTTCTCTACAGTCTCTATCTTTAATATTAATCCGAAGTCGCGAACCACTTGGCTGTCCTTCCATGTTTTGTTCAACGTTCTATGCGCGTCTGAAAACATATAGAAAGAAGTTTTTTTTTTTATCCACACACATTCTCTAAAAGGAATGACAGATCATAAACAGTTAATGGGTTAAAATATTTTCCCGTATTGTGTGGAGAAACAATAGCTTAACTAAGGGTTAATCCTATTTATGGGCGGCAAGGTAGGGCAGTACCCTCCTCCTTCCAATATGGAATAACTTGAAAAAGTATTTTTCAAGCAAGTTTTTCAAAAAAAGAAATTAAAAGCCATTGACTGGATGTTAGCATTTAAATATTTTAAAAGACAAATATATATAGCATTCCCAAGTCAATATCAACCTTTTCCAAGTCAAATTCAACCTTTTCTAAATCAAATTAAACTTTTTCCAAGTCAAATTCAACCTTTTCCATTTCAAATTAAACATTTTCCATTTCAAATTCAATATTTTTTTAATTATTTTTAATTTTTCGATGTGTGAGTCAGTTTTCGTATGACTAGGTTTTGAAAATAATCTCCATTTTAAAATTTATGCTACTGCGTTTCGACGTATTTACATTTTTTCGATTTATTCGATATAAGGGAGTATTCTTATTTATCCGGAGCCGTAGATTTTGAAAATCATCTTCATTTAAAGATTACACCACCGTGTTTATTTATATTTATTTATTTACATAACTTGAGATGAATCTTAATTATTATGGATTTACAGCTATTTAAACAAGAATATTTCTTCTAAAAATGAGTTATCTGTAGTATAGTTGGAGGGTGGTAAAAAAAATCTCAAAGAATTCATAATTTAAAAAAAACAACTGAATTTTGCTAAGTTTGTCTGGTCAAAAATCCTCTTTAAATGGTTTTGTCAATGACCAACTCTACCTTATTTTAAAGTAAATTTAGTTTAGTTTACAGTGAAACAATTGTAAATTACTTAAATTTTTTTATAGCTTCCTATGACTAGTTAGTTATGTTTGAAAAAAAAAAAAATTGAAAACTGGCATTTCCTACTTTTCTGCGGAAACGTAACTTTTGTAGCTCATGAGGTCTGCTATCACCTCTACTTTAGGTATTATCACCTCTGCTACACCTATACTTCAATTTCCATCCGCTTTAGGGACACCCGGACACCCTTTATAAAAATAACACCAAAAAAAAAGAATTCAATCATTGAATATTTTAAAATCATAAATAATGATGATATCGTCGTTTTATTGCAAATCGTCACTGAGAGCATTTTTTATATAGATCAACTTTCAAATATGTTAACTTTCAAATATGTTTTTGTGAACACATATTTTCAGTGTACAATTTTCTTATTTCAAAAATATAAAATTCATCAAAGTTCTTAATCCTTTGAGGTTATGAAATGTCACTTAAATGATTTTTTGCAATAAACCGACGGTATAAAAGTAAATAATAAAACTTTGTAATACAGCTAAGCCATGTAAATGTGAATAAAAAGTACAAATTAAAATATATATCCAATTTAACTATGATAATGAATGTTTCTTTCTTTTATTTTTATTTTTTATTTTTTTTTATCAAATATGAAAACTAAAACATTAATTGCGGTGTTGATAATAATAAAGATAATATACATAACCACATAACTAAAATTGAAGATCAGAATAAAAAAATAATTTGTACGAATTGATATTCCAAAAACACACAAAAAAACAGTGAAATGTAGATATTATTTTATTTTGTTTCACTATTCACTTCAAGATACTAATGATAATGGCTAAAAATCCCTTTTATAAAGATGGAGACCTCTGATCATGATTGAATTGAAACCAAAAAGTTGAGGGAAAAGGGATTTTTATCATAAGAATATAAAGAAATTATTATAAGAAAAAGTCAACCAATGGTGTTGGAAATACTCAAGAGAATATTTATCAGTTGAGTAAAACAAATCAAATTAACACAACACTTTAGAAAAATAGTTTGTCTATTTCATTAAGAAATAAATATTGTTACTATGACTTGCTAGCAAGTGAATGATTGGTTGATAAATAGTGACATACCTCTTAGACTGCTACTCTTCACGTTCCTTTCTTTGCGGGATATTTTCCGTTTCTCAATTCCAGACTCCAATTCTTTACCGCCTTCCAGATCTAGAATCTTCACCCTTCATCACACACTGTAAGATTACCAAAATTCTTTCACTTTCAAATACTTTGAAAGACTACCCTCTGCAAATTTCTTCACAGTACTCACTCTTTCAAGCGTCTTCCTAAAACTGAATATTTCCCAGCTGCACCCTAAAATTGCTTTCCCCTCCTCTCTATTTCCAAAAATATTTTCACTGACAATTTTTCTATTAGCTTATTTCCTTTTAGGGCAGTGCTCTGGACTTCACCTCTAGTTCTTCATAGTGCCCTCAAAAGGTTTTTCCATTTCCTTTGTAGTCTTGCCTGTAAATATATGTTATATTCACAACTCGGCAAAATGTTTGGCCATCTTTTATTACAAAACTGCTAATGAAGTGAAAAATATGTGGAGCAAACCTGTTGCACTAGGTACCAGGGGTATTTCCCCGGTTATCTTCAATACTTCATAAATTTGTTTCTTAGGAACTTCTTTTTTATTTAATAAATGGGTTAAAACTGATTGTAATAATTTACTAAATCTTATGAGTTTTATCCAAAGATATTAAAACCAAACTTTTCTTAGAACGTTCATCGTGGTGATGAACTCAATAAATAAATGTACTATTGTTCCAATAATGTATACAGGGTTTTGTTTCGTTTTCCTTTTTGCTAGTAGTCGTGCCATTTGTTGTATAATTTTTACTTCAAATCTGAGTAATGCTCGGCTGTATTTATGAGACATTTCATTCTTTTATCTACTATTTTCACATCCTGTACTCAAGTTAAACGGGCGGCTGAAGGTGCGTCGACTAGAAGTTATTGAACTTCAAGCTCAGTCTGTCACTACAAAACAACGGTCGTTTGATGGCAGACTGCATTTTTATTTAATATCTAATTTATCACTATCAAATAGAAAAATGTCAAGCCTCCTAATTTTAGATAATTTTTTCACCTAAAATTACAATTTTTGAATTTGAGTCTGCCAGTAGATGGGCGCGCCTTAACATAGGCAGACTATATTTTTATTTAACTGCTAATATATATGTATCATGTAGCAAAGTTTCAAATCTCCTAACTAAAGTCAATTTTTTCATCAAAAATTACAATTTTTTAATTTGAGTCTGCCAGCAGATTGCCGCGGCCTAACATAGGCAGACTACATTTCGATTCAACTGTTAATATGCAAGTGTCATATAGCTTATTTTCAAATCTCCTAATTATAGTCAATTATTTCATCAAAAATTGCAATATTTTAATTTAGAGTCTGCCAGTTGATTGCCGCGGCCTAACATAGGCAGACTACGTTTTTATTCAACTGTTAATATGCAAGTATCACATGCTTTCATAACTCCTGTTAGCTATTATATGAAATTAGATGTGTTTCTGTTGATATCACTACATCTTATTATTTTCTGTTTACTCTTAAATAACATTTTCATACTTAATATTTAATTCTAAGCTTATCATCATTAATGTTTATTTCATTTCTGCTGAACATATTGTGACATGATTTTGTAATAATTACACAACACAACTTACTTATTTTATTTTCTACCTATTTCTCAGATTCATCTATATTACTTAATATTCCGCCTATTAAAATTTTTTATAATAAATAGAAATGGAAAATAACTTTTCTTGGGACGAAGTTCCTTTAGAATAACAAAATAGTACAAAATTAAAAGACTACTGGCCTAAATAAAATAATAACAAAAAAGAAAAAGTAAAGATTAGTTAAACAAGCTAAGCTATATATAAAAAACTTTATTATTATATATTATGTATAATAAGAGTTAAAGTGGTTCTTCCCTTCTTCCTTACGACAATATTTCCTCAACACACTTCTCCCAGCGATGCTCCCATCTCTGCAACCCATCCAAATTTTCTCTGCAAAATTGTTCACGAAGGTGATTGCTTCTTCATTTGACGAATATCTCTGTCCTCCGAGTGGATTTTTTAGATAAGGGAACAAAAAGAAGTCGCTTGCGGCTAGATCTGGTGCGTTGTCTTGATGGAACACGTTTTTCTTCTGCAAATGTGCTCGTTTTTTTCACAAGTTCTGCCTTCAGCTTGTCAAGTAATGATGCTTAGTATGCTCCTGTTATGATTTTCCTTTTTTGAAGATAATTGATTAAAATAACTCCATGACTATCTCAAAAAACAGCCGCCATCACTTTTCCAGCTGAGAAAACAGTTCTTGCTTTTTTTGAAGCCGGTTCCCCCTATGCAATCCACTGTTTGGACTGTATTTTTGTTTCGGGCGTATAATGGTGTATTCAAGTTTCATCTACAGTAATTAATTGGCGCCAAAACTCAGATTTATTTCACCTAAAATCAACGGAGATTGGGAAGTTCATTCGAACACATTTTTGATCTAACGAGGTACCTAATGTGCGGACAGCTTTCTCATATCTAAATGTTGATTTAATATGTAACAAATACGTTCTTTTGACATGTTCATAACCTCTGCTATCCCTCTTAATGCGGTGGTCGTCTAGCACTATTTGGTGAACTTTGGCGATGTTTTCGTCGGTAGTTGCAGTTTTTGGACGACCCGAATGTTCATCGTCTCCCAAGCTATCATGGTCACGTTTGAATTCTGCTGCCCAAAATTTCACTGTGGTAAATGATGGTGCAGAGTCCCCATACACTGAATCCAACTCATCTTTGATTTTTGTAGGCGTATTGCCTTTCAAAAACAAATATTAAATGACAGCTTGATACTCAATTTTGTCCATTTTCACAAAAACTCTCACATCAACTCACTCAAACGACTGTTACATAAAAACTGTGTGTCTCAAATGGCTAAAACTTTTGTGGGCAACTCTCAACAGATGAACAACGAAATTCACTTGCTTTTATTTATGAGTGCTGCCATCTTCACGTTGCGGTCGGAAACTTTTCAGACCACTCTCGTATTTTCCATTCACTGGTTATTTATTTTATTCCATGTCTTTACCTCATTATGTTTTTAACTGTTAACTTTTTTAAATAACTTTTTATAAATATTATGTAAACAATAAATTTTTACTATCATGACAGTAGAAAGAATAACAAAATGAATTAAAGCAGTAATATATAATTAAAACCACAGTTTAATGTAAATAATTTCATCACAACACCTTTACATTATATAAACAGCTTACATTTAATTTTGTTTACTTAAAAATGAGTATTGTCATTTCCATATATTCATGTTTTCGTACAGGAAACTCTGTCACATCACAAACTTGAAATTTGGCCTGGCTATAGTACTTCAATTCTGCAATTTGAAGACCACATTATGATGGGTCTGGATGTTTCTCATAAAGTCTTAAGGACTGATAGTGTTCTGGAATTTCTTCAAGAATGTCGTCGAAGATATGGTTCTGAATGGGAGGTAGTCATATTTTTCTGATTATTTAGTTCAGTCACATAATTAACTAGTATTTTTTTCATTTTATTTATCTCCAGTTTTGAGTTATGATATGTTGGATGCAATTTTAGTGTAATTAAAAAACAGAAGCTTTATGATATTCACCACATTAGAGAAGTTCTATAAAGATAGATATAGAATAATAACAAATATTGCTTGGCAAGGAATACAGCTTAGTTTTTATATTTTAAATAGTCAATTTCAAGCATATCCACCTATTTGAAAGCATTAAATTAATATAATTAGTAATTACTTAATTATTTATTATGAAAATGATTTACATCGCCTATGTATTCAATGGATCATACAGTAACCATAATCTTTAAAAGAGTTATTAGTTACTAAATGTATTGATATGGTTCTCTTGATATTTGTATTAGCCTAATACTTATATTTTTTTTAGCATTACTTCTTGGACACCATTCTAGGAGCTGTAGTTTTTACAGGCTACAATAATAAACCTTATCGAGTTGATGATGTTGATTTTAAACAAACACCAACTGACACATTTGTGAAAGGAAATGTTAGCATAAGATACGTAGATTACTATAAAGATGTAAGTATTTAAATACTTTATTTTTATGAATTGAATTAAGTTGATTTATACAATAACTAATCATGCTGTAGTTAACAGTGATAGGGTGAACTCTTAACAAAGGCAGACATTTGTATTTTTAAAATTCTAAGAAGAAGCCAATGTTCATTATAAAATTTCAATTTAAACAAATTATGTTAATTAACTGTAGATTATGTTAAACTTAGTGAAATTCATCACCATTCGTTTTTGGAACAAATATTCACAATTGTCCATTTTTGAAGCCAATTTAATTATAGATGTCCGTTTTTTATTCAAATGACTCCTAATAGTTTCTTTCGCATTGAAAATAAAAACGAAACTGTTAAATCTAACATTTATATTTAACTAAATTTTTACAAATCGTAAATATACAAAATCGCATTGATCTCAACACTAGATTTCTGTCAGAATCATCTGAATTGGCATGCTCACACACATCATCTAGTAAAATACTTCTTTCCTGTGGTTTTAGAATTAGTAGGCTTCTTTCCTAAAATGATTTTCTAGTAACATTTCAATGTTTTGAAGTTTTTCTTTTTTAAGTTGGACGTCAGAGGGTATTTCTTTTGGGTTGATCAGTTAAGGTCTGCAATTGGACCTTCAGATAGGCCTCTCTGCTCGAGTATCAATTAGAGATCGACCGATAGTGATATAATTTTGGCCAATTATTGGTATCGGCTGATATCAAACGCTGATATATTAGCTTTTTTTTATTTATTTACTAATCATCTAATCATCTCCTTGAACCGGTATATTGGCTTCTTTCACTTTGAATATTATTTTTAATGTTAATAAATTTGTCATATCATTTGTCTAGGAGTCAACATAAACTTAAATTTGAGCAAAGACTGATATATTGATTTTCTGACCTTACCTTATTGAGATTGGTGGAGTTTGATAAATTTTTATTTGATTTTTTTTTCTAGTCCTCCCTCTTCCACTAATTTAGACAGATACTGATAATTTTTAATTAATTGGTACTGATAATTGGTCTTAACTCAAATTTATGTTCATATCGATTCCAAGGCGATTGATTGGCCCATTTATTATCAGTATGAATACTATTTCAAGTGAAAATCTGTGAATTATGATATATCAGTCCAAATAGGGGACAAAAAAAATCTAGCGGAAGAGAGCTTTGCCCAAATTTATGTTAATGTCAAATTCTTGGAAACTGATAGACACATTTATCAGGATTAAAAATTATGTTTATTCCTAGTGAAACTCTATGAATCATGATAAAATAAGGTCCTACGGACGATATATCTGTGTTAAGAATTTTGGTATTTGCTGAAATTTTGTGGAGAGGAGATTAAAAAAATATAAATAAATTTAAAAAAATGGTCTAACTGTGCCAATCTAGTTAAAATTAAGTCATCAAGCCGATATATCTTGATGATTGATTGATACTTTCATACTGCAATTATGAAAATTTTCTACACGAAGTTGTACTGAGCTAGATATATAAAAACGAATGACCAATATGCTGAAACATAGGTTTATCAATCTTTTATCAGTCAAAATTTGTGACTGAACAAAGACTTCACTTGAGGCTAGTCTTAAAGACGGAAGGTCATGACGGCATAAGAGAAGCTCACTCTACTGAAGCTTAAGAAGGAGATCAAGCCTATTGTTATAAGACTTTTAAATATTTCATTATTCACAGTTTGTTAAAATAAATCATCTTTGTTTTAATTCATTTAAAGTATATTTGCTCATTCCATTATTTCATATATATTGTTATTTCTCGCCACTCAATATCACAAAAGAATTGGGTTCCCAAATTCTCAACAGTATTAGACACTCAAAAAAAGTTTATCCATTTCTGTGGTTTTGTTTTAAAATTAAAATATATAGGGGTAAGTAATCAAAACTTCCTTACAAACAGAAGGTTATTTGCACACTTGATTTTATATATTATATTATTGACCAAATACAATTCCAATTCTATACTGTACTTCAAATATATTACTTTACTTCATCTGTTAATGCCCAAATCTACACATTTTATTTTCCTTTCTTTTATTTAGTTTTTTCTCATTGTTTTATCCCTTTTCAAATGTTAACAATAAAATGTTTATTTATTTTTGTAAAAGGCCAAGGAACAATTGTCCCAGAAATGTATTTAATTTCTGCGTTTGTGTATACGCACCAGCCTGGCAGTAATACCCAGTCTTGGGTACAGAGTGGCGACCGACCTGGAAAACAGGGAAAAGTCAGGGAATTTTCAAAACCTGGAAAAGTCAGGGAGAAGTCAGGGAAAAATTGTTGGAGTCAGGGAATTTTTTTAATTCGAAAATATTCTTAAATTGGAATTAATAGAAAGTGGATTAATATTACGACGTTAAGAGACCTGATAAATTTCGTTCTTATAATGTATAATTGTTATAGTTGTCAGGATCATCTTCATATTTATATCGTTATATAACCTATATATATCCACTTGTCACTGTCAATAACGACCCGGGCCATTATATTGGAATTAAACAAGGGTAATGAATAAAATTTAAGCAAAATGGTGTTAAAGCAGTGCTTTTAAAAAAGAAAAATATAACAATACTATCTGTAAGTATAAATCTATTCGTTGGTGAACTATAGGAGAACGTTGGCAGCTTCACATAATTCATGCTTTGGTAGAGTCATAATATGTGAATGACCAAAATGTGGTTGGACCGCTCAGACTTAAAAACGCATTTTGGTCCTTAATTTTATGATGATTGTTATGCATATTGAAGTCTCTCATACTAACAGAATATATAAAAGCTATCTAATATGTTTATACATCCTAGTTCTGTTTTAAAATAGTTAAATTAGGCGATAATAAAGTATTGAAAAGATAAGAAGCACTTAGTTTGTAAGCTGCAGATACTACAAGGGAAATAATAATAATCTATAATAATATCCCGCAAGGGCAACTGATGAACGCAGTTGTTGGGGTTTTACGATCCCCCGGGATCCTGAGTACATCCCACCGTTCACAAACACATACATCACAGTACACAATACCACATACACTGACACCGAGGACATTTGCAGTACACACCCTAGGGCAATCTTACCTAGAAAGGCCTGGCAGAAGGTTTAAAATGCAATCACCCATCAAAAATGGAGCTAAGAAATCGACGTATAGCCTCGGACGAGCCTGGGAATGAAGCTGCACCAGGCGGGAACCTTCGACAGCTTCCTTCAGGTAGTGGCGGATCAAGTGGCGCCACCCTGTCGCAAAGGACCACAAGACTGCAAGAACCGGCAACTAGTTCGAGTTCGGGCTTGGGCGAGACTATTTCTCCTCCCGCACGAACCCGGCAACAGAGACCAAGAGGTGCTCGAAGGATGAAATGGACGTCAGAAATGAACATGGCTGTCATCCAGGCATATCTTTTGGCAACAAAATTGGAAACAGATAAGACGGGATACCTAGGAAGGATTCAGCAGTATTGGCAAGAACTATATCCACAGATGACAATGAGTTCACAAAGGATAAGTGGCCAAGTTAGAGTGATCCGTTCAAGAAAATTTCTATCTGAAGTGGAAACAGAAAATATCAAAATAGTGGTATCTGAACGATTAGGAATGGTACAAATTGAAAATGAAGAGCAACCAACAGAACCTTTTTTAGAAAGATCGATGCCAATAGAGGCAGCTCCTCCAGAAGAAGAAGACAAAGACATTGACAAACTAATGGAATCATTATTATCCCAGCATGTGATTTATGAGGGGATACCGCTTGATGTTAGACCAATCCTCTCAAAGATTCCCCATAGCTTCAAATCACGTTTGACTGTGAATCGGGTTAATGAGGCTCTGAGTAGAGTTATTGTAGATTACACAGAAATGACTGTCGAAGCTGTTTGTCATTGGGCCTATGTTGCAGCTAGTGTCATTATTATTGAACTTGGCTTGGAAAAACAAGGAAAAAAGAAAGATAAAAATCATACAAAACTTCCGCGCTGGCAGAGAAGATTGGAAAATAAAATAGCTTCGCTCAGGGCAAATATTGGAGTTATAACGAGTTATATCAGGAACCCCGTTGGAGCAAGTACAAAAGTAAAACAAAAAATCAACGAAATAGTTGTACTACAAATAGGGGTGGTGTTAGAATCTGAGCTCACCGAAAAACTGGCTTTACATGCTGATATACTGAAGCAAAAACTTGCAGTTTATGCAAACAGAATACGAAGATATAAAAAGTCAGCAGAAAACAGCAGAACAAAATGTTCAAGAACAGTGAGCAGCAGTTTTATCGGAGCTTAGGTAATGATAATAAGGGAGGTGCAAATTGTTCATTAACTGACAATATTATAGAGTATTGGAAAGAGCTTTGTTTGAGAGCACAATGTAGAGCATAATAATGAAAACGAATGGTTAAAATTAGTAAATACTGAACTTCAGGAGAAACCTCAAATGTCAGAATTCGACATCTCGAAAGAGGATGTAATCATCGCTACAAAGAAAATGAAAAACTGGAAAGCGCCGGGTAGTGATAGAATTCAGAATTACTGGTTAAAGAATCTATCCTGCCTGCATGAAACACTTGCAATGAATTAAAAAAAAATGATAACAGGGCAGATAGACATTCCCAAAACGTTTTGTGAGGGCGTTACTGTGCTGATTCCCAAAAAAGTAGGAGATCGATTGGACCCCCAAGATTTTCGGCCAATCACTTGCCTCAACGGTGTGTATAAGATTTTAACATCCATTCTCACAAGTAAAATTGAATTTCACTTGCAAACCAATAATTTGATTCCACTCGAGCAACTTGGCTGTAGAAAAGGAGCCCAAGGGTGTAAAGAACTTTTGCTCATCGATTCATTCGTTGCAGGCCTAGCGATAATATTAATAATATTAAATCTCAACTGTTCAATCATTTCTTATCCATCCAGTCCTCATCATAAGATTGTAAATAGTTACTACTGTAAATATGTATTTAAATTATTAGATCGTTCTTTATTATTTTTACTTCATGTTTATTTTCAATT